AACATGCAAGTAAGTTTGTCTAAAATTCTAAATTATGTAAAAATGTTAATAATTTATCTTTTATTTGGCATAAATAATTATAACATATAGAGGTTTGAAGAATTTCTAAATAAGGCTAATGTGCCGAATTTATTTATCATGAGATAATTTGATGCATTCAATAAGAAAAAAAATGTAAAAAAAAAATGATGTAATAATTTGATTGGATAAACATTCTTTAATTTTAACACTTTTCAACTCTTCACTTCTCATATCTTCCTCAATCTATTCTCTTTAAGTCTCTCTATTTTCTCACATTCTTTGGTATTCCTTAACCTTATATATTAGTATCCATTAGGGGTGGACCGGGCCTGGTCCGGTTCCGGTTCAGGACTGGGCCCGACCGGGCTTGGAGTTTACTTGTTAAGGCCTGAGACCGGCCCGAGAGTCTACCTGTTCCAGGCCGGGCCAACCCAGTTCCGTTTTTTTCGTATTTATCCCCCCCCCCCCTCCCAAACCCCTTGAAAACTCTCAACCCACCTAAAACTAGCCCAACCCTAAAAAAAACCCACAAAAACAAAAAACTGGGATCGGGCCTGGTCCGGCCGGTCCCTAATTATGTGACCCCAGACCCGCCCCCTAACCCCCCCCCCCCCCCCCCGTTTAGGCCTGGGCCCAATACCGGAACCGGTTCACCGGTCCGGTCCCGCACAGTGGCAGGCCGGTCCGACCGGACCCAGGCCATGCCTAGTATCCATACACATTTCCAAAATCGTGTTTATAGTTCTGCGTTATTCATAGAATCGTTTTCCACTAAGGATGTTTTCTTTTGGACTGAAATTTGCTGGTCTAATCTGGTCTGAACTAATCTGGTCTGGTAAACGTCTGATCTCTGTGTATTTTATAACTACGGAAGCCTAGTCTGGTCTGATCTGGTCTGCAACGGAAAACAGTCCAAAAGAAAACATCCTAATCAGGGCTAGACTCGGGCCGGTTCGGGTCCAGGCCGGGCCTAGGCCCCGGTCGGGGCGGCGGTTCTGGAATGGGGGGACCGGAACTGACCCGGGTAATCCCCGGTTCTGGGCCGGGACAGGCCTCGGGCTTTGTTAATATTTTTTTCCTTTTCCTAGTTAACCCCCCCCACCCCCACCCCCACCCCCAAACCACCCCAAATGACCCAAAATACCCAGCCCAACCCGAAAAGTAAAAAAAATTGAAAAAAAAAAATTAAAAGACACAAAACCGGGCCCGAACCGGCCGGGACGATTCATGATTTGGGGGCCCCGAGCCCGGACCGGAACCCACATGGGTCGGGCCTACCCGGTCCGGTCACTGACTAGGCCACCAGGCCGGGCCGGAACAGTGTCGGTTCGGGCCGGTTCCGGGTCGGGCCACCCGGCCCGGGTCCAAGCCTAATCCTAATGCTCCAAATAACTTTGTATATGCAAATGTCTTTATTGTCGGGAAATTTTGTATTTACCAAAACAAGAAAACAGCAATTACAATACATTATGCAAATTTCCATACGATGCACTCAACACTCGTTCAAAGCAAAGATGAATAAGTGTTGTATTCAATATTTATTATTTCATATGTGACGTACAATTTTCAAATTTACTAATTAAATGCCAAGCATTTTAATAGTTCTAATTTAGAAATACACAATGTCCAATTATATTTACTACATTGTTGCAATTCTATTTAAATAATTATAATAAATATCATAATGACATTATAATTCATACATGTTTAAATTCACTAAAAAGTACTACATATTAATGGTATTAGGTATTATTTGGGGGGAGTTCCTTCATTTTTCTCTTTCGTCCGACGCATTCTCCATCTTTTTTCTTTTTTCTCTTTCTTCCAGCTTACTTTTCCATTTTTTGGATCTTACGTTTTTTGTTTTTGAGCTTTCTCTTCCGGTTTTCTCTTCCAGCTTCTCGATTTTTCTTTTTCAATTTATGCTTTTGTTTTTCTTTTCTCTTAATATTGACCTTTAATATTTGTAACATTAACTCTTCTTTTGTCAAAAAAATTGCATTAGATTTTTTTCTGCATCCGTTTTTCTTTTTTATTTTCCTTTAATTTTGAATTTTAATTTTTCGAATTTTAGTTTTTCTTTTTCTTTTTCTGCTTCCGTTTTTATATACTTTTTTTTGTCTTCTGCTCCTCTAATTTTGAACTCCTATTTTTTATGTAAATTTTCTACTAGAATTTTTTCATGCAATTCTCTCAAAATTCATATCGAATAGCAAATCAGTAAAAAACATATACATTTCTCACTCTTCTATTAAAATGTCCAACCTTCTAAATAATTAAGAGTATATTATTTAAATTAAATGTGCATTGATATAATTTTCAAAAATAAGCACAATAATAAAGTGATTTGTATGAAACAAGAAATTGATGCTTCTTTATGTTATACACAAATTGATACTTGAGTATACTAGAGATTTTCAATGTGTTTTTTAAATTTTTTTATGCTCATTTAGTAAGTTATCTATGCTCATTTATTATTGGTGTAATGCTCGTTTTAAATGAGCATTACACCACACATTTTAAAATGTCATATCCATGCATATTGATCTAATGCTCATTTTAAATTTTTCGAAGCCCATTTCATAGGTTATGTACTCTCATATAATATTTGAGCATACTGGAGATTTTAAATAATCTTTTTGATTTTTTCGATGCTCATTTTCATAAGTATGTATGCTCATTTGATATTGGTGTAATGTTCATTATGTAAGTTACGTATGCTCATTTGATATTGATGATATGCTCATTTTTAAAATGTTATATCAATGCATATTACAAATGTACCATATTACGTAAGATTCACATATTGAAATTCATAGAAGTTGAGTAAAAATATAATTTGATAGGTTTTTATAAAAGAAAAACTAAGAGAAAAAATGAATTAGAAAATATGAAGTAGGAATTACGATGTTCATTTTCTAATTTTTGGATACTCATTTTTTAAGTTATTTATATTCATTTAATACCTCTGTAAGTTAGAAAATATGAAAATCGTAAGATTTGTTAGTTGAATCTCACGACATTTTAATTGAGAATCAAAACTCGCCCATTGAGATGAAATTCATGGTTTCTAATGAATGAGCATTAATGAACTTTTAATGAGCGTCATACATATTCTGTTGAGTAATATGAGTCTAATATTGAAAATCGAAATCTCGGCTTCATAACTTCTAATTCACTTTCTCTTTGTTATTTTTTCTTTTATATAAATTTATCAAATTGTATTTATAATCAACTCCTATGACTTCAATATGTGAATCTAATATAATATGGTACTTTGAAATATGTGCTGATATGACATTTTAAAATTGAACATAAATGGGTATCAGTTGAGCATACATAACTTACAAAATGAGCATTAATATGAAAATCATATTTTTTTGTTGAGCATCAAAACATTTTCATTGAACATCAAACATCGTTTATTGAGTATTAGAAATATGCAATTGAGTATTATGGTATGCGTTCTAGTATCTATAATCAGTTTCTATGTAAATCTTATGCAATCTGATACTTTTGAAATATGCATTGATATAACATTTTAAAATGAGTATAAAACTAGTACCAAATGAGTATAAATAACTAACAAAATGAGCAATGTTATGAAAATCATAATCTTTGTTAGTTGAGAATCAACACATTTTCATTGAATATCAAACATCTTCTATTGATTATCAAAAGCATGCAATTGAGTACCATGATCTTTGCTCACATGTGAATCTAATATGATAGTTTTGAAATATGCATTAATATGACATTTTGAAATGAGCATAAAAGCAGTATTGGATAAACATATGTAACTTACAAAATGAATATTGAAAAGTTCAAAAGTTTCCTTCATTTTTCTTATTCTCTTATGTGTTTAAATGTTCATTTGTGCACATATATTACAAGGACAAATATAGTAATTTATATTAAAAATAATTTATAGACTTTTGTTCTAAAATTATAAATATAATCGAGTTATTTTACTAATAAATGTTCATCTTAAATTAAAAAAAATAGAAAATAACACATTCATCTCTTAAATATTCATCATAAATTAAAACCAAAAGGCAAAATGGCAGTAAAGAAAAAAGGAAAAAGAAGTAAAAGAGAATCTTCCTAAAAAGCTAAAATAAGAAGTAAAGACTTAATTTAATTGCATAAATTAAAACCAAAAGGCAAAATGGCAGCAAAAAAAATGGAAAAAGAAGTAAAAGAGAATCTTCGTAAAAAGTAAAAAGCACAATGATAGTGTCAGAGATGGATGAAGGTGGCCGGGTAAAGACTTGTGACAGCAGCTGTATAAGGGAGTGTTTGCAATTGCTTAAACTTTAAAGAAGTGATTTTTTAAAGTGATTTTGGGAAAAGTCATTAATAGTAAAAGTTGGTAGTGTTTGAAGAAAAAGTGATTATGAAAAAGTAAAAGTTGGTAGTGTTTGGTAAAAGAAGTACTTTTTGTGTAATAGAAAAAGTGAAAAGCAGTTTAAAGCATCCTTCCACCTGCTTCTAGCTTTTAGCTTTTAAGTGATTAATTTAAGCAGAAGCTGACATTTGAAAACACTCTTTTTAACTTTTTTTAAACCAAAAGCTGAAAAGCACTTTTTTTAATCAAATACAAACACTCCCTAAGCCGGCATGGAATGGAAGGATTAAAGAAGCATACGGGCGTCTGCGGACAAATGCAATCAGGAAAAAAAAAACTCGGATGTAGGTACACCCGGGTGCACCTGATAATTTAGCGGGGGAGGGGGGATCAAATGGATTCAAGACCAGTCCGAAACCTCAAATAGGGGTCCTGGTCCTGTATCCCATAAAAATTTGCTCAAGAGCGGCACGTTCAGGACAGGAACCAGCCCATGCCCACCCATGACCCACAGGCAAGGAGGGTCAGTGGGCGTGAATAACAGTCTGAAACTGGACGAGACTTAGCCCCAACAATGACAATGCTCCATGAAACTGATATGTATGGGGGGGTACTTGAAGAAGAAAATGATGTCAAAGAGAGAAGAAAACCCAGTTTGAAGTGATTTAACACATTATTGCAAATCAATGAAGAATTGAAGATAAACACAAAAGGCAAATTATGCATGAAGTAATATAATAAGTGATTGCAAACTCAATTGCTTGAAATGAACAAATCCAGAAACTGTCATGATAGTGATAGTAATAATAGTAATAATGATAGTAGTAGAAGCATAAGGATAAGTGAGCAAGCTGATGCAGCAAGGAAGCTTGCTTTCACTGAGCACTCATCCACCTCCTATCACACCTGCAGCATTCATTGAACATTACACATGGATGTGAAGGATTATAAGATAACATAAAGGGCTCAATAAAATAAAGCGTGTGAAGGCTGTATTTATCAACAAATAAAAGCATATCATTAACTATTTCCAGAGCAGTTGGTTTTTTTAATAAAAGAAACTGAAAGCTGTGGAATACGATGAGTTCTGGTTCCTTCAAACAGAACTCGATGAGTTCATCCTTTATGAGACCTGGAACATGCCTGTGTCCATGTGAGGCGGTGAAAAAACGCACGAGGTTTAAGCTTGTAGTAAATGTACTCAGTCATAAGACTTGTTAAAAGAGTACATTCTTACAGAATAAAAGAGTCAATTATCTTATGTAAGTGGTCATAAGATAGTACATCATGTAAGTGGTCATGGATTGGACATTTGATAGTACACACCACATTCTTGATGGACATATCTTCTGAATATAAAGATACCAGATTGATTATGAACATTTATGAGGTTGTTATAAAAGCTATTCAAGCAAAAAGATTCACAAGACAGAAGTAAGTTATGCACTTCCTTATATGCAAATGCACATCAGATTTTAATCAAAAACCCTTACTGTGTGCTTGTCTAAAAGTTGGAGCCAATAAACTTATAGCCAATGGCGATCTACCAATCTAAACAAGTACTTATCTTAATATACGATGCACAATCTAGCCTTCTCCATCATAGATCAAGACTTACACTTGAGTCTGCACAAACTAATGAATTCTTAAAATAATATATGGAGATCTGGGGCCTGTTTGGTTAGGGCCATTGAGCTGAAATCAATTAATCTGCTGAATTTTCTGAATGCAAAACTGTTTGGCAAAATCAATTTCATCCGAATAAGAGCCTCATTGGTAAAATTAATTAGCTTATTCTTCTTACCTACCGAATAAATAGAATAAATAAGCATCTGACTTACTCATTTGGCACAATTGATTTCATCAAACTAAGTGCATTTCAAATTCTACTAAACAGTCTTTAAGTTAATCAAATTCTACTACTTGTATGAATATTGACTATTCTGCTTATAAGAAGGATAAACAAATGAGCCGATTAATGCTGCTAAACGAAGGCCCTAATCAGAAGCTAATGCTGCTCTATCCACATAGAATCTACTTCATACTTATGAATACACGTAGACAAAAAACAGAGTTTTAACCCAATTATACAGAACCAAACCACCAGATATTACCTCATTACAACCCAAGTATGCCTTGCATTTTCTATGTTTATTTGCCAAGGAGACATGAAATTGGATTTAAGAAGCAGATTTTATGATGAGCTCCCCACTGCTCCCCGATTGCACTAATTTGAAATAAACAGCCAAACATACTTCTTTTTCAATATGCAATTAAATAAAGACAATGTCAGCTCTCAACTCTCAACTATGTTTAAGTAATTAAAGTATAGCTGCAGATTAGTTGGGTCATGATGATAAGATTTCTATGACCTTGGTGTGAAAATTAGATCATTAATTAACACGGCTACCACAATAATAATAATTATAATAGTAGTAGTAGCAGTTTTGATGATAATAGTTAAAGCTGCATTGAGGATTACCATTTGTCTGAAGATGGGCTAGAGAAAGATCTGGCCGGCCCGTTGTGAGATCAGTTCTTTCCTTTGGGCTTAAGATCGGTTTGCGGGTCACCATAGTGGAGCTGCAAACGGGCATCAAACCCATGGAGAAAGTGGTGATGGTTGTCCACATGGGAGTTCGAGGACGTAAAGAAACTTGTTGGTGCTCCGTCAATGGGATGAAACCTCTGAAGGTGAGGAGGCAATAGAGACGGAGAAGGAGAAGGAGAGGATGAATTGGACTGAAGGGTCCCCCTAAAAGCAGCAAGGCCCGAGGAAGAAGACGAAATGCTGAAATTCAGATTGTAGTTGTTGGGGTCGTCATGCTGCTGGTGGTGGTTGTGGTCGGCGACGAAGGAGAATTGTTGGCTGAACAAGGGGGAAGACGCAGGAGGGGTCATCATAGGGTTTCCCAGGTGGATTTGATGGGCCGGATAGTCGCAGGAGGGTGAACGAACAGCAGAACGGGTTAATAGCCCATTGGTGACATAATCAACGGAAAAGAAATCGGATTCGCCTTTCACGTTATTTCCGCCGCCGGCGCCGCCACTAGTCAACAGCTCTGTAAAGCTTGTATTTTGGGAAAGGGGGTTTGCATTTTCTTTGCTCTTCTCCTTCCCGGCAGCTCTCTCCCGAGCTCGTTCCAAGGCCAGGACGCGATACTCCGACCGGGAAAGAGAAAGCCCGCCGGAGCCTTTGCTGGTGTCGGACGGGCTACTGTGCTGCTGTTCTCCTCCTCCGCCGCCGCCGCCTCTAGGCCTTCTCTCGTCGGTTAGCTGCAGCGTATCAGGAAAAGAAGCGTTCAAAGATGGAAGCTCGTCGATGAACGGAGCTGCCGCCTTCAACAACCACTCCACCGCCTTACTGGGCTGGTCGTAGCCGAGGCGGTCCTGCAAATCGTAGAACTGGACAGCAGTGTTGACGGAGAGGCGGACGCGGCGGTCTCTTAGGCCCTTAGAAGTCCACACCTTGCTGTGCCTGTCTTTCCCCCCAGAAGCTCGAGAAACCCGGACAATCCGCGACGCCGGCCAGCCGTAAAGCCTCCCGAGGCCGCCGCCGTCCCCATTACTCCTCTTGATATCTCCGTCATCGCCATTTCCGATTCTTGGGTTTTCAACCTCCATCCCAATTTCATTCCTTTCTCCACCCAATAGGGTTTCGAGGGTGAGAGAAAGAAAGGGTGCAGCTTCTCTTTCTATAATCTTTGCTATGGAGATTCAAAAATCGGAATTAGGGTTTAAACAGAACGGAGAGGATGCAAACAAAAGGAGAAAAGGATGGATGAAAGTGGGGTACGGCAAATTGTGGGGATTCATTGTCCTTTGCGTTGATGATGATGACACACTAATCTTAGCTCTTACACACATAGGGCCGTAGTTAAACAGACAAGTACATGGAGAATCACCTTTGGCTTTAGCTCACTTACAATTACTCCCCTGCCATTAGCTCACTTACCATTACTCCACTGCCATTAGCTCACTTACAATTACTCCAATGCCAACCAAATTATGCACGGACCCAACCCGACCCGAATTCCATGGTTTTTAGAATTCTAAATCTAAAATCTTATAAACACCAAGTCACCAATGAAGGTTAGGCATTTTAGGGATGAAAAAAATGTTGGTGTAATCACCTAGCTTGATGAGGTTGTACCATGTGTTTTAACATGTGCGCTGTTCTAAGGGTGATGAAGTATATGGTCCATGAACCCTCAGCTCATAGACTCTTACTTCTCCTACAGGTCCATTGAGCCCAAGGAGCATTCGAGGCCCAAATACAACGGCCCAAGTCTCAAAGAAGCCCAAAATACACATTGGGGTGCCTTCGGCCTCCTTGGCCGAAGGCTCCAAAAGGCACAGGGCACTCGGGTTTGAGCAAACAAAGCTGCTGGAAGAAAACAGCGTAAAACGGTAGCCCTCGGCTACCAGGAGCCTTCGGCACACATGGCGCCCTCGGCATCAGGGGAGCCTTCGGCTATACGGCGTGTCCCCAGCTACACAGAACCTTCAGCCGAAGGGAGAGCCTTCGGCCAACGACTCAATCATCGAAGAATCCCTTTGGAGACAAGCAACCACCGCATTTAATGCGGCGTCACATCCACCCACCATATTCAATGTGGTGCACATGTGATTGCCAGTGCCACCTAATTGAGGTGACCTTTCGGCCGTTAGATTATCGTCATGTGTACTCTCATCGCATTTATTGCTGCTATAAATAGCAGCCCCTTTCCCCATTGTAAAGGATCAGAACACGTTCAGTTCATTTAATACAATCGACTCTCTCTCTCTCTCCTCCTATTTGCCCTGACTTCTCTCTAAGTTATTCTCATAATAACCCCTCGGATAAGCTACCCCGGGTACACTGTCCATCAAAGGGAATTTATTATATTTCCGTTTTATTTCCGTCAAATCTAATGGCTTCATTCCGCTAGCTTCGTCTCTCGGGTAGGGTTGTAAACGAATCAAATAATTTGTGCTCGATTCGTGATTTGAATTCATATAAGACGATTCGAATTCGGAATATTCTAATACAAATACAAATAAGAATATTAAATTTGATTCGAGTTGTTATCAAATACAAATAAGAATATCAGTGTATTCGATTCGAATATAAATCAAATATATTCGATTAATAATAATAGTAATAACACCATAATAACTTTTAAAAGATAGCAATATTTTCAAAGTGTAGCCCATATATACATTTTTGCATACAAATTCCAAGCCCATTGTAATAAACCAAAATATAAATACGAACACAATTCAAATTTTTTTGGTTCAAATGTCTTTCAAATACAATACATATAATTATGTATTCGATTTGAGGAATACAATTAGAGCTGTTTGACTTTGATATGCACAATTATCAACTTATTTCACACATTATAAGTATAATTTCTAATATGTGTGTGAGTGTTTATTTCAAAATGTTTGAAATAGATTTATATTTATTAATCATAAAATTGATTCACTTTAGTATATTGTGCAATGTGCACCATCTAAAAATGCATCAATCCATTAAATTTTAATTCTAAAAACACATATTAAGTCAAAGCATGCATTTACAACATAAAAAATACAGAGTATAAGAAAAGTTGTTTGAAGTGATATTTGACTAATATTTTACCTATGCTCAAATCGGTTCGATATTCGTATAAGATTCGTTAATTATTCGTATTGTTAAACAAATACAAATACAAATCGAAATTAATATCTGTTTCATATTTGAATTCGAATTCGTATTTGAAAAAATTAAACAAATACAAATACAAAATCTCATTATTCGACTCGATTCGGTTCGTTTACGACTCTACTCTCGGGTCTGCTATCACGCACCTGCTCCACCCGCTCCTTGAGACCCTGACCCGATACCAAGCTTCTTGGATCCTGTTGGCGGCATGGCCTAGTGGTACCTTGTCAATGTTTCCGCTCTTCTTTCGCAAGAGTTCCCAGTTCAAATCTGGGTGGCGACTTGGAAAAGGTTCCCCAGTACTGTAAGGAACCTCTTCACCTACTTTCCTTCCCCTATCTGATGCTTTTCAATATCTTTTACTTTCTTTAGTTTATAACCTTTGATCAATATCTAAAGTTACAATACAGATTCTAATCAAGTCAGTTAGTAATGGTATTAAGGTTAACAATACTTCATCGTATTAGACCAGCATTTTAAGCTTTCAATTTTAAGGACCAACTCAAGGCTATTACAGCTTTCTTAGAAAGATATTAAACCAAATTGGGGCTATTTCATCATATCTATTTAGTTTGAAAAACTAGTTTAAACAAAATTCAATCTGAAGGCAGTTTGTTACATTGACTCTTTACATTTTCACTTTTTTGTTTTCTGGGATTCATTTAACAATGTTTTCCCATATGATATACCATTTAAAAATGAACCCTTTTCGTCATGCATCAGAATCTTGTTTGAAAACCATTATCGTATTCCCAGTTGTTTTTGAGCTGCTTTTAACTACATGTCCCATAATAAAGGAAGCAACGATTATGCTTACTATGCTACCTTAATAATAGAGTGAAAAGGTGTCTGTTATTGGTATTTTCCAATTTTAGATTGGACTGGTAAAATCCATGTAGGTGATGTACGGTGTTATTTTGATTTTCTTTCAATGCTTTGTTTTAGACTGAGTGGGATCTTGGCACTTCATATAAGAAAGGGTTCATTGTGAAAGGTACACAACTTTATTGACAGTGCATTCGTTTAAAAAAAATATTGATGTATGATTTCTGCGATACTTGTGTTGTATGGATGGCCTGTTTTGATTTAAAACTAAAATAGCTAAAACGACATGTTCACCGTTATGGGAGGATGTTAAAAGTTGAAGTTCTTGAATAGTTGAGCTTAGATGTTTAGGAAAATGTTATACCACATGTTTAATAGAGTTAATAACTCATTTAGATTTTATTACTTCTAGAAGTAAACTTCTTGAATAAACATATAAATACTTATAATATTCAACTAAGGTGTTATTTCTCTATTATTTTTTGCTTGATAGAGCAGTCTTTACTGGATATTGTACTTGAAGCAACCAAAAATTATGCCCATAGCATACATCTTTGTACTTGGACAGTTGATCCAACTTCTTATATTTAGTATTGTTTTTTATTTTTAACAAAGCTCAACTACATATCTCCAAGAAACCAGGCCTATTTCGAGCACATCAGAGTTTCTCCCCAAGCTGTAGTTACTAAAATCTAGGTGGTTGTTTACAGTATCTTGCTGAGCATGTACCGGACAACCATTGTCGGTTTTTGATTGTTTTTGTTTCTGCCGAATGTTCGGTTTGTGTTGTTGATTCTGTTTATGTATTTGTTGTTTGTTTGAATTTTGTAGTCAAGTGTTGATTAAGACTAAAGTGGCCTGCCCCTTGTCTATTATTTGCTTTTGATAGGTTGTGCATTATATTGTTGGGCAGCAGCCTGCTTTTGATGTTATTTCTCCCAGGGGTATGCCCCGTTGACATTGTATTTCAAATTCTGGATGAGTTCAACATGTACATTTTACGCGGGAAAAACAGTCACAAGAAAAGACCGAGCAACGATAAGGGAGGAGAAGACTAGAACATGACACATTATTCTAGATTATTTTGAAAGCTAGACAAAATGATTTAACAATTGACAACAAAGAAAGGTTAGAAAACAAAGACAGGAGAATGCATATACTGCTTGGAAATGCGATACGAAGTTCCACAATGGCTAATTTATCCCTAGCTCTTCTGTACTGCAAGTGTTGGCGGGAGAGCTCCCCATCCTTATCTATGTGATGCAAAATCTAATAAAACATTTTATGTGCAGCAACATCAAGTTGTTGTTAAGGAGAGGATAATATGAGTCCCCACACAATGTCCGCACACCTTTTTCAGCATCCATCTGAGAATGAATGACCTTGTGGCAATTAAGGCTGCATAGAGGGAGCTTTGACTTGGAGTCACGGTACTTGTATGGGTTCAAACATAAAGGACCAGCACAGTTTTCACAAGGAGGTGGATAACTGCAGGGTTTGGCTCCGAATATAGGGGTAAACCCATCTCCATTAGAAATGTCTACTGTCCCTGTAGGCCTCATGATGATTCTGACCGTTTCTGATGCAAGCACTTGATGTTTAGCAACCTTCTCCTGGGCCAACTCTTCTTGGTGCTTCTTCACTTTGTCCTCTTTCTTCTTTCTATTTGAGTCTTGACCAAGCATTTTTTCAATTGACTCAGTCTATGATTCTCGACTTGCCTTCTCATTTTGCATTCTACGCCTATGTGCTGCATGTGCAGCTTCAGTTTTCTTTAGCTGCTGCTCCACCTCAGTGAGTTCTTCTTTTTTTTCCTCTTTTTTTGTGATAGGGGTGGAGGCAACCCATTAACGAACTCAACCTGGCTCCAACCAGCAGATGGCTCCTTGCTTGAGAGAAGACCACGTTGGTGTGTTCTAAGAGCTATTCGCCTCTTGGATTCTGTCTGGGTGTTAGGTTGGGGTCCCTTCTCTGTTTATGTAAAGCAAACACAGTTTTGTTTCACATCTCCTATATAATTTTGTGGGGTCCTACATAAAATCGAATTAAACTAGCATCGTTCAAGGATGTACTACATATATTTTGTTATTTTTATGTCTTTCAGCTTGCAATGAGAAAGATAAAGTCTAACAATAGTTTTAACTGGATTGGATTTTTTTTGGATGCCTGTTTTATGTGTATTTTACAATAGAAATTACTTCAAATAGGACTAAAACTATGTCAAAAACTCAAAATAGGACTTGCTATGTTTTTTTTTCAAAATAGGACCATAGTGGTCCTATTGGAAACATACTCATTTCTTCCTTCCATTC